CTGGCTCCTGGAGGGGTTGGGACCGTCGTTGGGTGGGAAGAAGGAGGGTGTTGGGGCTTGGGGGGCTTTTCCGAGGAGTCGGGGGAGATTTGGGGTGCTGGCATCTCACTGCCGGCCTTGAAGGGAGCCATGTGCTGTAATGGGTTGGTGGCGAGGTGCTGGGAGTAGCCTGGGAGGCTCCATGGGGACTGTCCTGCTGTCAAGGTGTTCTTCACAGCGTCAGGGCAGGGGATGCTTCTTTTAAAGTGAAACCTGCAAATTATGTAATGTCTTAGATGCATCTGTAAGGAAGCAGCCACACAGGTCTGGGTAACTTGGTCTTCCCTTTCACATAAAGCCCTGGAGAAGCGGTGCTCAGGGTGTTACACTTAGCTGGAAAAGGGAGCTGCCTGCCAGAAGTGGAGTTACAGGAAAGTGGGGTGACTGAACCAGGGGTGTACATGCCCGTTTGGGGTTGCCTTGAAAGGCGGAGAAACTCGCCATCCTCCAGACCTGGCACAGTCAGAACGCAGCCTCACACCTGTCGTTTCTCAGAAGATAAATGCTGCACGCCCATGAAAAGCCTCATCGCAAAGGTTATCGCTAAATCCTCCTTTATGCAATCTGAGTCATGGTGCTCACGCAGGATCCGCTACTCACTTTTTCCCACAAATACACGCGCTGTTACTGAGAATTTTGGAATGGTTACCATGTAAAACCTCAGCTCATGCTACTCTTAGGTTTCGTTTTTTCCCTTTTTTAAAACTTTAGTTTAAATGTCTATTACTTCTTGCTTAGTAGAAGCTTGGAAACAGGATCTGGATGAATCCCAGAGGTATCTGAGAGGAACTCAAGAATGTTAAGTTAATGTCCCTGGCTTTTTTCTTCTCCTGCATGGTGAAGAAGGGGGATGTGGCTTGACCATTGTTCTGGAAAGTTGAGGGTAAAGAGTATTGTTAGCAAGCTGCTATTTAGGACTATGTGGTCCAGACAGTGCCATTTACTAGTTCTAGTCCTTGCAGCTCTCAGAGAATTTAAATTAAAAACCCAGTCACATGTTGACCACACTCAACTCTGTAAAATGGGGTGGAATCAGAAATAACCAGTTTCCTGATGTTTCATTCTCTATTTACTGTGTCCTTAAGAAGGTATACAAGCATATCTTCTTTCTCCAAACAATTGCAACTGCAATTCAGATGCTGTGTGAATGTCAAATGGCCCATTCAGTCACAGCAGGGCAATGGTCATGTGCTTTAAAATCACGTATATGCACAGAAGTTTGTGAGACTGAGGCTGTATTATCACATAATGTTGTTCAAGTTATGGCGACTAAATGTGGCCAGTCGCTGCAGATGAAGCCAAGCTTTGTTTCTGTGTTCATGAGTGATTCTGCTGGGTATGTGATTTAAAACATAGTTGTTGAAGTAAGGATTCTTGTTCCTTCCAGAGGGGAAGGCTCTTGGGCACAAGCCCGCAGGATTACTGGGATGCCAACCTCCCACACAGGTTCCCATCTTTTCCTGAGTTAAACTGGGATCTGGGCCTTTGTTATTTCTGTACTCCTTGTTAACGTTCTTTATGTTGCATGTCCTTTAATAACCTGCCTTGCTTATTAGTACTTACTTAAATGTACTTACTTATTAGTGGCAACACAGGGATTTTCTGTAAGATTGTGTTGGAAGGCACAGGTAAACTGTCTAGGGTCCCCAAAAATGGACATGGAGGAGCACTGGGAGAGGCTGAGTTTCTTCAGATCTTCCCAGGTGTGTGCCTCTGTCCCACTGTGCCTGCTCAGAGAGGGCCAAATTCAGTTTCCAGATGACAGCTTCAAACATGCAAACAGTGCCTCTTACCCTCCTCAGTCCAGCTGGGATTTCTGTGAAGTTGGTGGTCGGTTTGCGCAAGGATAGAGCTGGGGTTGGGTGGTGTAAATTCTTAATTGCTGTCACCAATACTGTGGTTGCATTGCTGAGAAACAAAGGAGAAAATGTGCCTTCAGAGCTGTATTTTTTCCCTTGTTTCTCTTTTACTCTGTCCCCACTGGAAATGTTTTGCTCTTTTCTCCTAGTGTTTCCCTGTAGCTCCTTGCCACCCATCTGTCCCCTTGCCACCTACAGGCTTTTCTGTCCTGGTTTCTCCAGCCTTGGTTTGGTCAGCAGTAAAGAGATAGTGCCAATACTTAAATATGACATCATTTGGGTCGGGTTGATACTGTGGTTAGATTAATAAAAGCTGTGGGGAGGTGGTGTGTTCCTGAGCTGTTATTCCAGGCCACTGCAGACCTCAGCTAGTGATGCTTGCCAAAAGCTCATAAGAATGGAGAGGAGGGCACATGCATCTCTGTAACTTAAAATGTGGATGGTGTAAGAGCTGAGTAAGCCATACAGGGATGATATCTTTTTAGAGAGTGAAGGTGTTAAGCATGTATGTCATAAGGAGGCATATTTATTTAAAATAATGCAACTAAATGTTACATTAATTAGATCCTTGATTAAGTAGAGGCAGAAGGCAGTTATGATAGCAACCCTTTTTATCCTGTCAGTCTGTTTCATTACAGCCTCCTCTTCTGGTTTGCCTTTGTGCATATCCTGCATCCTGCCTCAGTAAGGTATTTCTTAGCTCACCATTTTGCTGAAATCAGTCTCAACCTTTAAAAAAAAAAAAAAAAAGTGCAGTACTGTTTCATGTAGCAGAATTTGGTAATTTTGTGTTAATGACTGATCAAAATGATGACTTGAATTCTTCTTCCCCCTTGCCCCTCACCAAATGCAAGGTTTCAAGTTAAGATTTAGAAGTGAGAGGTGTAGAAAATCCTACTTTTTAAACTTCTGGAAATCAATGTTTCTGTTCAATAGGTATTTAATAGTGTAAAAATGTAAATTCAGTTTTAGTAGAATGGCAAAATGGTGGTTTGTGTTGTCTTTGGAGACTTCAGAGCTGCCCCTTATTTTCATCCTCTTCAGTGGAGAAATGAAAAGGCCTGTGTGCACTTCACAGGAAATGAATGTCTGATACAGGCTTGCAGGCTGCACATTTCCAAGAACCACTCTCAAGGTATTTTGATAATGCACATTCTCTCTGCCTTCTCCCTTCCTGCTCCTCCTGCACTTTGTATGCTTCTGCTTGTTTGCAAACACATGCAAAGCTGAGGGGAAGAATCGAACGGTGCCACTATTAAGTTTGCAGATGGGCTTCTTTGCTTATAGCTTTATACTGGAGCAGTGGCTGACAAAATTGGGTTAAACTGGCAGCATTCAGTTGCCTTTGTTGCAGAAGGCTTTTGTCCTTTCCCTCACTCCCTGCAAATGCTGAAGAAAAAATTTGACTTCGGATTGTGACTTGTGCAACAAGGGAGTTTTTTGTGTGTATGTGATTCTGCAGTTCAGAAACAGTTTGGATCTACTTTCATACTTCCTCAGTAGCAAAGTTTATTTGGAAACTTAGGCTAAAGCTAAGAAAATTTCTATGACTTTTAGCAGTTGGAAAATGCGAGAGATCTGCAGTCTGAACTTTGTAGCTAGGCTTCTGCACATCCTGCTGAAGATGCCTTGCTGAAGCTAAGGGGGTTCAGTGTAAGTTTGCCTCAGTTGGCACACTAGTGGTGATGAGCACAGGTTTGATTGTGCAGGAGTGGTTTGTTTATGCTTTTTGACAGACCAGCAGCGTTGTTCTTTATCCATATTTTAGTTCTTCCTTGTTTTCTGGTGAGATTTTGTGGTGTGGAAGGAGGGAAGTCAGAGCTGTAGAAACATTTACTGCTTTAGTAGTAAACACTCGAAACCTGCAGTTTGTGTACAGTGCACACTGATATTCAAGTCAGCACATCCAAAGAAAAGGTGCTGTTCTTTTTAGTCATTAAAGAATGAGAAAAACCTGGACAGAGCTATTTTAACTCTGCAGCAGGTCCATAGCTGATTCCTCATATTGACTTCTTATACCCTTTTTTACTACTTCAGTTTTGCACAAAGGGCATTTATGCCTTGTGCTGGGCTTCTCTTAGTGTTATGTCAGGTTTAAATGGTTAAGAGGTGTCTTAAAAAAGTGTTGATAAAAACCCCAGCCCTTTGCTGCTGGATTCCTCTGCCTAAGGTCTGCTAAAGCATGACATGACAGAAACAAAGCAAAGACATTTGAGAGAGAAGAGAAATGAGATTCCTCAGATCAGTTCTCTCACTTTCCCCCACTCTATATGATTGGAGTTTTTCCTTTTATGAGTTTTAAAATTACTTACTTTTCAATCTTGGTCACCTTTGAACTTCCTCTCATCTGGTTTTCTGAAAAAATACAAAAAGAATGTCCTCATTGTACTGTATCTTTCTCTGGCATCCTCTTGTGTATATACCTCAGATAGTGACATTAGTGGTATGTTCCCACCCATCCATTTTGCACCCTCCCACTCCCACTTGCTTCTTGGTTTTTAAATGACTGCTTTTGCATTCGGAGCTGGAGCTTTCCTTAATGAACCCTCAGCACTGTTACTCGGCTCATTGGTCAGCTGCACCACTTAATTTATTGCTCTTGAAAATACAGACCCAGCTGGTTTTCCTACAGGCCTGTGTGCATTTGCATGTGTCAGGACAGAGTCTTGCCTGACCTCCTGCTGCTTTCCTGCTGATGAATTTTGAATGACCTCTGACTTTTCTGTCCTGCAGAGAGTGATTTTGTCACTGTTTACCCTGGGAAGGCGATGGAGAGGCCTTGCTACGTTTTGAGTTGGCTGCCTAGATTTAAGTAACATGAGGCTGTAAGCTGCCTGCTGGGGGGCAAGGTTAGGCCTTGGGGGTTTGAGGTGTTGTGAGTAGTGAGAGCTTGAAGACAGGGAGAGGCAGTTCTAGGAAGATGCCTGGGTCAACATGTGAGTTTGCACAGTGAGGGGAAGGAGCTGCTTGCATAAGAGATTGGGGAGCCTTTGGGCTGCTTGTACCCACTGGCCTGTTGAGGAGTGAGGTAGGATGCTCTGCAAAGTGGGCTCAGTCGAACAAGGGGGAAGATGCAGTGGGTGGGAGGGTGGCAGAGAGGTGACTAGATGTGCAGGGGCTGAAATGCCTTGGTTTCTTCCAGCCACCCCTCTTCTACGTCCCATTCACCCTGTGGCATGACTGCTCCACATCTTCTGCCCATCTGCTGTACAGGTCCTGGTGTGCTGCTGGCTCTTTAGCTTGTGTACTGTGTCTCACTTTTTGACTTGCTTTGGGAAGCACAAAATGTGTCCTGTCATCTGTTGCTTCTTCAGGTGCCGTCTGCCTGGTGGGGAACTCTGTCTGGGGGTTGGCTCTCCCCCACACCAGGTAGCCTTGTGCTGCTCCTGCCCTGGCAGCATATGTCAAAAAAAGTTCCTTCCAATACTTGCAGGCCTCTGGCAATTGCTAGTGCAGCTGATTTGATTGAGAGAACACCTCTCTTTGTATCTTGACCACTCATTTCCAATTCAAAATCTTTGGGTACAGTCCACCGTACCCAACTGTCTTTCTGCTTTAATGTCACTTTTCCCCATCTCTTCTGATCAAGCACCCTCTTTTCTCCTTTCAGGTTAATCAGCATTAAATACTGGGGAATCTCCTCAACATCCCATGTAAGAAAAAAGTAATACCTGCTTGCTTGTGTCTCTTTTCTGCAGTGTCCCTGTCCCCACTAGCTGGTATCCCGCTCAACTAAATGATTCCCCAGAGGGTTTCTGTTTCTGATAAACTGAAAATGCCATATGTTTTCTGGGTTTTGTTTAGTTTATCTTGGCCACCTACTGTCCCAGTTTCATGACAGGCATCCTCATATAAATTTGTTCCCTACTGTCAATAATTTATATTCCTTTGTATTGTCTCCTCCAGGATTATTTTTTCATCTTCTGAAGGATTATTGAGGTTACAGAGAGATTTGAGTAGGGACTGTGGTTTTGTAGTGTGTGTGTTTGATGTCTATGATCCACAACAGAAGCCCTTGTAAGCTGTTGCACCTACAGATGTTACCTGCAGTGTGACCTGTGTTGTCCCCCAAGCCTGTCCTCTGTGCTGTCATTTGTGGGAGGTCTGCATGCTCTGTCACTTTAGATTTCCTAAATAACCTTTCATGACTAAATTTTTTTATTATTTTATTCTTTTTACTTTGGACTCTCAGGACTAGTTTCTTTATTTTGTGTGTTGGAAATCCCCCACTATAAAACTTAGTGTTGTGGTGTGTCTGTGCTTTCTGACCCTTGCCCTTTCCTCTGAAGGCACAGTAACTGGTGCTGCGTAATGGCCCCTCACATCGTTTGAAGCTGGTCCTTCTGAAGAGTCAAGGCAGGGTGTTTCCCTTGTCCCCCTGTGCTCATGTTGGTTAATCATCTGGGACTCCTCTAGCAGCGTAGTTCTGGTAAGGATACTGAACCAGTTTTAGCTGCAGACACTGCTCATTTCTCAGAGTTAGCTGCTTCTTTGAATTCTTTTCCTGCTTAATGTGATGGTTTTGATAAAAAGCCATGGTCCTCACAGGGACCACTGATGGCCTTTGTGTCTCAGGATTTCCTCATTTCCTCTAACAGAGTTGTGGAACAAAGTCAGTTTAGTAGAGAGAGGCAGAGGAAATGTACCTGTGCTGCTGGTCTGGGGGTGAGGGGAGCTGGTAATGCTGAGGAGCCAATATGGGTTGGAGGCAGCCCTGGGCATTGCTGCCCCCTTCCCACTGGTCCCCCTCTCTGCAGAGAGGTGGAACAGAACATTTCATGTAGGAAGACATGAGGGACTGCTGTTATCTTGGCTTCTTTCTTCTTCCTCCTTGTGCCCTCTGCCTGTCTCCTTGTTTCTGCCCCCAAACTGGGGAGAGCTCCAGCCACCTTTCCGGAGGGGCTGCTTCCTGAGCCGGAGTGTGGTGTGGAGGATCGGCAAGGCAGCAGCACAGACTCTGTGTTCCCTGGCCAAGCACAGGGCTGAAGTTTTGTGTAGCTGTGCAGCACTGACACTCACAGGAATGGCTGCTTGCTGTGAAACTGCAAAGGTCAGGAGCAACACAACTGGGCTTCCCTCACTTACCAAAAATGCTGTTGGCCAGAGGCAAGCAACAACTCTCTTTGCTTAAGCCATAGCAGGATAGGCTCAGCTGCAGCTTTGGAACTTAGTAGTAACTCCTCCTGATTTTATTTTTTTTTTCCTTCTTGTTTCCCCAGTTACAGAAGAAGGCAGAAATAATTCAGTCTCCAGTAGAAGATGTCTTTGGCAGAAGTTAGATGATAGTTTTGGTAGTTTTACTTGCTATGGAGTAAGTTGTAGTTGCTTGTGGCTACTGCAGAGCAGCCTCTGAGTTCAGGGAAGTGATGAGGCTTTTCTGTTATTCTGAAATGGCAGGATTACAGTTTCTCACTAGGCTCTTTTATTTGAAAGTATTTCTGAAAGTGCATAGTATTTCCAAGGTTTGGGGAGGGGACCCTAAAAATGTATGTCTTCCTTCTAGCTTCTTTAATTAGCCCAGCAAAGTTTTTCCTTTAAACTGCCACCTTGTTGGGTTTTTCTTAACATGTGTCGGGGGAAAAACCAAAGTGCTTGCAGACCTCCCTGCCTTGAAGAGTATTTGGCACACATTACACTGTCTTGTTGATTTTCCTGGAGTAAAAACCCTTTTGCCCCTGTCAGCAAAATGCCATATTAATTCAGAAAACACGCGTCATAGAAAAATATGTTAAGAAGTACCAAACATTAATATCAAATTCATGCAAAGTTATTTGTGGGTTTTGAGGTATGTTCTCCAGACCCAAAATGTTGGGAGGTGTTTGATAAGACAAGTCTTCTTGCAAGGTGTCCAGCTGCTGATTCCCAGAGCCTGCATGCAGGATCTTCCTGCCCTGTGTCTCTACAGGGCAAAGTAGGAACTGCCAGTTCCAGTAGGAACACACACGGTGTGTGTGCTTCCTCAGCTTACTTTATTAAATATTGCATCCTTGGATGCTGGTTGTATAGGGAAATGCAGTTCTGGTCTGGGGTATGTATGTGTGGTGTGGTTTGGGTTTTTTCCCACATATTCTCTCAAGTATCAGACCTAATGGCAGCCTCACATCAAACTGCCATGGCATAAAAGATAGAGGGAACTGCAATGTTTCCGAGGCGTGCTTTGTGCTGGAGAAATTGGCTGTGGTCAACATTGGTCCTCTTGGCTGAGCTGGGCCACATTCCTCCTCTAACCACAGCTCCTTCTGTTCTCTTTGGCTCGTCTGTCTGTGCATCTCCTTTCCCTTCCCTCTCTGTGATCCCTTTCTGGATCAGCCCAAGTCACCTTGGCTGTGGCAGGGTGCTCATAGCAAGGGTCTTTGGTGTGACCACGCATCGTGGCGGTGACGGCGCGATTCAAATCTATGCCAGTGTGTGGCAGGCGGTGGCAGCCTGGGAAGCAGGCTGTCCTACCATTAAACCCCAGTGATGCATGCTTGGCTTTTACCAGGGAGGTTTCTTCCAGCCCTTTGCTCAAGCTTTCCTTTGAAACATCCTTCCCAGCCACAAATCAGTAGGCAGTGCATTTCTGTGGGATGCAGACGTGCAAACAAGAGATGTCTGCTCCAGCTCTGCTGCCTGGAGTAGGGATGCTGTGGTGAGGGCTTGCAGGGTGCCTTAGGGAGAGCTTTTCCTAATTATCCCAGTCTCCATCTAACTGCTCTGGGAACTGCAGAGTTGATATCTGGGAGATGTCAAAGCCAAGTGGAGTGGTAATGGGAAAGTGTAATCATGGGATTGACTGTGATTTTTTTGCTATCTGCAAGTCAGTGTAGCTTGTGGGCTGTGTGCCCAGTATGGACTGGGCTGGGAAAGATGCAGAGAAGTCATGTTACATGGGTACCAGTGAAGCTGTGCAGGGACTGCCTCTGAAAGGCATGCAGAAAGCTGGGATTGTTTTTTCAGCTTGCTGGATGGATCCACTGACAGACATATGATTCCACATGTGGTGGTTTGCTGCTCCGCCAGGTCAGTGGGCTTACTTTTCCATCTGTGAGGTGAGAAGGAAAAGTCTTGAGAGCTGGGGAAGCAGGGCAGAAGAGTGTGGGCCAGAATGTTTTGGGTCACAGTTAGGATAACTCAGCAGTGAATGGATACCTCCGTGGTGTCAAATTTAAGATACTCTAAATGTTGTGTTTTCTATTAAGCACAAGTTAGGACTTTGCTGTTCTGAATCCTTAGGTTTATTCCTGTTGCCATTTTCTCTTAACATTTGGTTTTATGGTTCCTGATTCCGGAAGACGATGGCTTTATGGTCTTTACATTTGTCCTTGGGCCACCTGTGAGCTGCCTGGACCTAATCAGCTCATGGCTTTGTAAGTAGCAATAGTAATAACAGCAATAATCTGCTGTCTCTGTTGCTATCTGAAGTGCTGTATATGTGTTTCTACAGTAACACAGATCAAAGAGATAAAGACAAATAACCTGTCCCCAGATTTGTTGTATTTTAGATCCACATTACAGCAAAGTAATGGGCTTAGTCACCTGCTTGATGGACGTCTCTTTCTTTTCAAAGGATGGATTTTCTCTTAAGTAAAGTCGTGCAAAAACTGGGAAGTGCAGCATCAGAACTTTTCAATTTGGACCACTTCCAGTCCTGACATCCAGAAACTCATCCCTATGGGTGGCAAAGACAAAGAGGTAAGCTTTTTCAAGTATCCTGGGAGAACAGAGCGAGGATGCATCATAGCTGAGTACTTGAGGCTGATGTTGAACATGCCAGATTTGTCAAGCCCCAGGGTGCAGGGTTGGCTTGGCTGACACCACATGCTGTGTACAGTCCCCTGGTTCACTGGAATTGTCTCCTTATATAAAATACGCTGCCTTGCCTGGGCTGTGAGTGTGGAGGAAAGCAGAATGCCCTGTGTCAAGAGCACTTACTTTGAAAAGCTCTTGAACTTGCACTAAATCAGAAAGTCTGAGGAAACTTATCCAGCCTTTTAATTAGCAGGATCCCAGCTTTTTAGGGTATGTTGCTTTGGCTGCAAGCATTGTTCTGACTTGCAGTAGGGAGGTATTAACTTGTTCAGGCGTTGGGGTTTTTTGGGTTTTTTTGGAGGGGAGAAGAGGGAAAGCAAATCGTAGTGTGACAAGTCAGCAGAACTAATTATGCATGTGTGTTTTATTACACCCCTGGCTTGGTTTATTCCTAATCCTGGTTCTGCATGTCCTCCTTGATGTGGGAGGCCATGTATGCCTAGGACCTGTTGACCCATTAAAAGTGAACCTTAAAGGTGGTATTAAGAAGCACTTCTAGGGCTAATATTACTGTAACTAATGCTGTGCTGTAGGCCAGGCACTTATCTCTTGGAAATGGGTCACTGAAGCTAAACAAATTCCCCCCATCTGAGGTTCTGACCTACATGTAGATTTCAAACCAAGTGAACAAATTGTCAAGGTGCTATTTTTGCATTTACTTTGAATTTGAAATGACAGTCTCAGTTCTTAGTCAGTCAGATTTCTAGTAGCAGTGGATTTTTCTCAAAGGACTTGGGTGAGTGACTCAAGGTTGAAAACTGGGACAAACCGGTTTGGGGTTTTTTTTCTGTCAAATAGTATCTGCAGCCTTAAACAAATTATATATTTGTTGTTATTTTTAAAACCAGCTTGGAAATGAAAGACAGCTGTCTGCTTCTGTTTTCATGCTTGAATTAAATTTCCAACCTTGACCTGTGAAATTGGCAAAGTTTCCATTTGGACCCAAGAGAAGTTGCTGTTTAGGAAAGTTATTTATCACTCCTTTTGAAGCTGTAGCCACAGCCCTGGAGGCACCTGGCATATAACCTTTGTTTCCTATAAGAGCTAATGTCAGAGTGCGTTATAGCCTCCTCACCCAGCAAAGAGGAGAGGGACAGAGATGCTGCAACTCCTTGTGGTGCCTTCTATGCTGAGTTTTTGGTGGTGATAGATGACCCTTGTTGCTGTAGTGGTAACTGTGTTTGTTTGCATCCTACTCATTAAATCACCCTCACCTAAGATTTCTTCTGACTTGCTGAATGGTCTGAGCAGCTTTCAAGTGCTGCCTTTTCTTTTTTTTTTTCTTTTTCTTTTTTCTTTAATGGAAAAGAGAAAAACCCATCTTGATTAACTCCTTCCTACCCCTCCCACCTTTCTCTAAGCATGGAATTTCCCTCCTACTATGAAACTACCTAGAGGGCAGGATCAACAGCATTCAGAACTGTACCAGGGACATTAGCGACTTGTGGACTGCAAATCACAGGTCTATAAGCTGGATAAGCTTCCCAGGCTGCTCTTGGAAAGGATGCTTATGGCTCCATATATGGAACGTGCCTGGCAGCTACATGATTGGTATTACTGTTGTATATTGAGAGAGATGTTAGACTAGAAAATATGTCTGCAGTAAGGCATTGCCAGGCGCATGCCTGCTCTCCCTAACTACTGTGCCCGTGTGAAGGAAAGTTGTTTGTCCTCTCCCAGGGTGCAGAGTGTGCATGGCCACCCAGCTGGCACCAGCACCAAAAGGAATGTGAGGCTTTTGAATTGCTGGCAAAGGGTGTGAGATAGAGGACCTTTGCAAGGAGCTATGCTTAACATAAAGTTCTCCCTGCAGTGCAAGCCCAGCGCAGGTCCCTGCGCATTCCCTGCGGGGCTGTCTGCCTGATAAAAGCCCTGATGCTCTGGCAAGTCTGTGGTGGGGGGAGACTGCTGGAGATGAAGTGTGTCTCTTCCTCTGCTGCAGGCTGTGCCAGCACTCTGTTCTGCTCCAAGCATGGCTGTGCTGTGAGTGAGTATGACTGGGTTAATGGAGTATGTCAAGGGAGCGAGGGCAGCATTTGGCAGCGAGCTACTGACTTGTCAGGCCTGGGGAAGTGGTATGTTACAGATCAGCTTCTCACACAGAATGAGCCTCTGGCTTAGGGCTGTGGTTTTTTTGTTTGTGCCTATACAGACACACACATTTAGAATATGTATTTTTTTATATATATAATTGAAGTGACTTGGATGGCTGATGGCAACACTGGGTTCAGAAATTTGCATTTCTGAAAACAGCCTGGTGATAACATAAGGTGCAGGAGATGAGCAGGGTCATGACAGTACATTAGAGGATGGTGACTGGGAGAGGGCAGCATTGTCTGCAGGCAGAGGGTGTTGCCCTTCTGGAAGAAATGAAGAAGTTAAGAGTCTGGAAGGGCATCAGCAATGTCTGGTACCAGTGTTAAGTGAACTCATTCATGGTAGTCTTCTGCTTTTACCAAGTCCTGTTGTCAATGTTTTTGTTGAAGAAATGGTTGGAGAAGTGTGAGAAACCTTTCTACCTTTCACTTTCACAAAGTAAATTATACTTTCCTGCTTCTCCTGCTTTAGGAAATATTTCCCTTTTGATTTGTGGTGTCATTTCACCTTTCCAATCTCAAGGCCACTGTGAAGAGTCCCAAACATCCAATAGAGGGAAATCTCGAAATGCTGAGATCTGCTGGGTTCAAACTAGCCTGCTGGAGGGTGTGCAGGAGCCCCTGGCTGTGAATCACAGAAACCCAATGGATGCAGAGCTCTGTAAAGTGCCGTGTTGTGCCGGTGGGGACCCAGCTGGAGCCCCTGCCATAGACATATCCTTGGTTGTCCCCACAGTTGGGGTTGGTGACATGCAGTAGCTCTTTGGTACTCTCTTTGGTACTCTGCTGGTCTTTCTCCCTTGGGAAGTGTCTTGCCCAGGTTGAAGAAGGTATTGGGTTTGCCTCACTCTCCTTCTGTCCCGCAGGCTGGATGCAAAGGAGGAAGCATGGTAAAGGCAGCATCTTTCCAGGATTCATGGGCTCTTTGAGAGATGATCAGAGGGAGGCCAGATGATCTGCACAACACACACACCACTGTTTCTCGTCTGCAAAGGCAGCATCGCAGCGTTCTCCCCAGCCCAGCACCACCCGGCTTGCCCGATCGTTTCCGGATGTTTCGCAGCTGCGAGTGGGAAGTCCTGGAGCGATCCCTCAATATCCTCCAGGCCAGTGACTTCTACTGGGGCCCCCTGTCTGTGGGGGAGGCTCACGCCAAGCTCCAGCGGGAGCCTGTAGGCACCTACTTGGTGCGGGACAGCTCGCAGGGGAACTGCTTGTTCAGCCTGAGCGTGCGGATGCCCACGGGCCCCGTCAGCCTTCGAATCTCTTTTCAGGAGGGCTATTTCCGCCTCAAGAACTGGTTTTCAGACTGTGTGGTCCAGCTGCTGGAGCTGGTGGTGGCGGGGACCCGGAACAACCCCTTGCACTTTGATGAGATGGGGGGAACTCCCCTGGTCTTCTCTGAGCCCTTGTGCCGGAGCCGCCGGACAGTGCCCACGCTGCGAGAATTGTGCTGCCGGAGCCTCCCTGCTGGTGCCGTGATGGAGGGCAGAGCAGGGCTAGGGGGCTCCCTGGGGATGTGTCTGAGGGAAGAGGTGTTCTCACCCCTGGACAGAAGGGGAGGGTCAGAGGGGAGTGATGGCCCCAGCCCCTCTCTGTCCTGGGCTGGGAGATGATGCCATGCATATGGGAGATGAAGCGAGATGCCTCTTTTATGGCTGCACTGGTGGGATATGTGCCACACCAGTGGGGCAGGACTGGCTGCTGGGAGAGAAAGGGGGAGGGCAGAGGGACTAGAGCTTGAACCCAGTGGCTGTGACAGATGAGTCCTCATACATACACAGTGAGCGTGACTTTCCCCAGACATGCCTGGGGTAAAGCCAGACTCGAAGAGCAGGCATTTCCACTGCCACCAAGTCTTGCTCTTTGCTCCATTTATAACTTAAAAGCTTCAGGAAAAGGTGAATTGCCTGTCCTCCCAGGTCAGCCCTATGTTCTCTTCAACCCCTAAGTGCTTGAGCTCATTTCTGCCTCAAAACTACCCTTGTGGAGTGCAGCTGAGTCCAGTCCCACAGCAGTGCAGCTTGGATATCGATGGGCATGACCCTTGTGCTGACCCACCGAGCTGTGGTGGAGCAAGAGCACATTTCACTTCTTGCAGCACAAATGTGATGCCTGTTACTTCAGAGGCCGGTGTCGGGCACAAAGTGAAACCATTGCAGCCGTGTACGATACATGCAGCTTCACTGGCTTTTGCATTGCTTCATTTGATTGGATTTTTGAGAGTGAAGATGGGTTATGCTGTACTTAAGGGCATGGCATTCCTGCAGAGATAACCCTGATCTGGAGAGTTGTATCTGCCCTGGGAGGGTGTGAAGAGATGATATCCTGCACCCTTTCTTAAGCTCATCTGATAGTGTGCTGCTGCCATCTGTCGAGCATCAGAAGATGTTTTGGTTTTGCCTCTGAAAAGGCAAGGAATGTTTTATATAAAACTTCTAAAATTTTAATAAAATTTTTATATTGATTTTTAAAAGTCAGTGAATATGTGGCAGTAATTTCATTCCCTTGTAATGTTGGAAGCCCAGTTAGTTTGGTGCCCAGGCTTGGTAATCAAACTGAAACTGAACAAGTGAATTTCTCATAAGGAACAAAAGCAGAGCATAAATGAGTGGTTCTAGGTGGGAACGTTAAACTTAAATTCATCTTGTAGTGTAATTAATTGAAGAATTCTCTAAACAGAGAATACTTCTGAAAATCTCAGCCCTACATTTTTAGAAAGTTTTTTTTTGTACCTTAAAATTTGTACTGAGTGAAAAAGACTGAGTAATTCAAGATCTTAGAACAGGACACAGCATTAGTGAACTTGAACTGGTGAGTATGAGTACACATGGGAGGAACAGAGTTGGCTTAAACAGGGTCATGGTTCATTTCAGGGATAGTCCGTATGATGTCTTCAAAATAAGTGATTGAAAACAGCTACATGAAAGAAGAAATTCAGATACTCTAAAATTCGAGCCAAACCATTTTCCATGCTGCTGAACATCCATAGCTGGGCAGGCAGCCTGCTTTGCTCATGCTGACTTTCCTCTTTAGACCTGTATGGAAGAAAAAAGTCAGACAGGGGAAGAGGACACTGAATTTGCTTGATTGTGATCAGCTGTTTTATCTGAGGAACTAAAGTGTGTGGTCAGCACAGAGAGAGATACAGGCTGTGATTCATCACAGGAGCCTAACTTAGACACTCTGAATTATTCTCTGGAGGGCTCTGTTGCTCTGCTGGCAGTGAGGTGCCTGTCTGCCTGTCTCAGGGCATTGGCTTATGAACAAAGGTAGTTAGGTAAGTGTCAGGGAAATGGTGATCTTGGCCTTGCTGCCTGCTCCTTCCAGATGCAGGGAGACCAGAGGCAGCTCGGTGGCCCTGCAGCTACTGCGTCTCAGCCCAGTGCAAAAGCAGGAGCTGGGATTATTCATTTCTGCAGGGTTTGTGTGCCCTGGGGTGGCTGACATGTGGGCATAGTGTTGCTTGCTGCCAGCATCTCAGGTGGCTCTGGGCACCTCTGGGACTGTTCTCAGGCTCTTGGGTGAAGGCCCTGCCTCAGCAGGGTCTGCTACACAGCTGACCTCCCCCTCTGCCATGGAGGAGTGGGACTGGATCTGCTGGCCCAGGCATCACGTTCACCCCTTGATCCTTTTCTTTCTTGAGGGTGACTGCTGAGGTGCCTTGGCTGCCTTCCTGCCTTCCTTTCAGAAAGCAGGGGGATGGAGGAGCAGTATAATTTCTTCCATGTTTAGAACCATGTTTAGAGTACAGGAATGCTTCTGTTTTCTGGCGAGGTTATACCTCACTAAGGGAAGAGCTTTCTAACGGTATTGCTCTGACCTGGCTGTGAACTGTTCTCATTTGGCCGCAAATGAGCATCTTGGGTTGTATAGCTGGGGGCTCAGAAGAGCCCTATATGTGGCCCTATATAACAGCTTTAGGAAAATCACACCATGGGAGAAAGAAATAGTTTGGATTTTAATAAAGTCTATTTTGTTCCTTTTTATTTTTTTTTTAATTGCACAGCAAGCACTTGTCTCAGTCTTACAAGTAAGTAAATTCCATGCAGGGCTGCAGCGAATTGATTTGAGATCTGTGGATGAAAAGCAGTGAATTACTGCCAAGCATTGTTATATTGTGGAAGTTGAAAGCACATCATGTGTGAGTATCCTCATTATTCCCAAGGAGAGGTCACTCTGCGGATCAGGATTGGTGCAAGAAAGGAAATCAATGCAGAAAGAACAGGAAAGTGAAAAGTGCATTGGCTGAGACAAGCATTAGAGTCCTTCATTCTCAGCTTGGATGTTGGAAGAGAAACCTTTTTCTTTCAGCTCTTGAAAAAAAAGATATACAAAGCAAAACGGTAAGAATTTACTTCCATGGGGTAACACCGTCCTGCTGCTTTCATTAGAATGGGAGATGTTCACTTTAATGACCCTGCCTCTGAACCAGTCCCTCTGTCACGTAGGAGTAGCTCCTGGTGGTCTGTATCCAAATGTTTCTTTTGGTGGCTCCTAAGGGGACTTAAAAAGAAATTGCAAACTTCCTCTCAACCTCTTGAGCACCATTTGGGGAATATAAGAAAATTGTTTGCATTTTTATATGGTATGTTATACATTTCTCCAGCTGACTCATTTCAGTTTGTCGAGGAAACTTACACAGGCTTTGCAGATGGTTTTTTTCAAGTGTTCTTCCTAACAGCAGAAGTTGAAAAGTTTAGTGCTTACGAGAGGGGCTTCCTCTACCATGCTGTGAAGGGTCTGGATTTCAGTCCCAATATGCTGCAGGCATCCAGCAGGAAACTGTTCTTTGTCTGCTCCCAACTAGCTGTCTTTTGGTAGTGCTCTGGGGCCCCAAGAGTTAATTTCCCAAAATTCTTCACTGGAACTTGCTAATAACTTCCATATGTACGCATGTGTGTGCTCAGGAGGGGCCCCACAGCCATCAGCTCTTGTAATAATACTTGATTACCTCTGACATAAGGGTCTGTATGTCGTTAGGGATCAGGATTCACCAAAAGACACAAGTTTGTGCAAAAACACTTTAAAAATGTATTAACATTTGGTCATCCTCAGTGATTGGGAAATGAACTCTTCTTAGGTAGTCAAGCTTCAAAATAAAGCCTGTGTACACACAGCTGGATCTCAGTTTTGACCCTTACCCTGATGTCCCTTTGAAAATGTGCATTTGTGTCATTAGTCTTTAAGCGTGCTAAACCCCTTAATTTACAACACACCTTGGTTAGGAGAATGTGGCGGCTTTGTATGATTGAGTCCGTTTTGCCTCAGTTCCTTAGATGTTTGGCATCTGTACAGTTAAAACTGCACGCACTGGAGATTTCTGCCTGCCCTGTGCCATTCCCTGGTGCAAAGGCCGGGCTACTGAGGGCAGCCTTCAAAGAGAAAGCAGGTGTCAGAGGGAGAGGGAGATGTGGCAGAGTCGCTGTGAAACTCCCGATGCCTCCCTGCAGAGCTGCCTGGGTCTTGGCAGGCTCCTGCTGCCTTCTGATCTCAGCTGGGGCTGGCGGAGCTGAGGTTTTGATTCAGGCAAAGCAAAGTACTTCCAAACGCTTCCCGTGCGAGGGCTGGCTCGATAGTAAGACTCTTCAGCCAGAAAAGAGATGGCTAAGGTCTGTGGCAGAGATCTGTAAAGCCTAAATGCCATGGAGTAGGTGACCATGTGTTTTCTTAAAAATCCAGGGAGGCATCTGATGAAATACTCAAGTTCAAGACTCAAAAAGAGACATTTCTTCAAGTGACGTATAGTAGCTTAAGCTGTTGAAATCTCTGCCACAGGCCACCAGCAAGGCTAACCTCTATATGGGTACAGAAAGGGATTAATGGTGATTGATGGAGCACCTCTGGAGGAGGAAAAGCAGAGTCGGGAAATAGGGGAGAGGCAGGATCCAGGTGGAGCTCTGAGTTCCATGTCTTGTAGGGAAGACCTCTGCTATGACAGGAGTGTGGGAACAAGCCAGCCTAGGCTCAGCCTGAGGCTCAGCAGCACAGGGGCAGCCCAGGCCAGCTAAGCCAGTGGCTCGGTGAGGGACAGCTGTGCTGAGCTCCCAGAACCTGTGCTGGGCCTCCTGAGACAGAGGGGTCTGCACCTGGCAGACCTGTACCCCACCCCTGCAGTGCAGTTGCATGCCCCAGCAGTTTGATGGCAGCCCCAAAGGGAGCAGCCCTCAGGCGATTCTTCCCAGCTTTCACAAGCAGAAAAATTGGGACACCCATCTGATGCCTGGAGGCTAGCGTCAGCACAGGCTGAGGATAAAAACATTGCCATCATTCAGAATGAGTGGAGGAGCCTGAATTGTCAGCTGAGGGCACTGGGGGAGGCTAGCATCAGCCCAAGGTGATGGCTGGTTGGGGCAGAGCTGGAGGCTCCCAGCCTGACTAACTGCATGTCAGAAAGGAGCTGCAGAGCTCTGAGAAACAAAGCACTGGCAGGCTCCTAGGTTCATCCATCCCAGAGCAAGTGACATGCATACTCTTTTAAATATTTTTGCCTCCTGGGCTACCTGCTTTCCCAAGACACCATCCTTGCCATCAGAGCTCTCAATCTTTGAGCTGGTCCCAGATACCACTGAAATCAATGACCAGATTATTGTTCCTCTCTGAAGATTTTGGATTAGGCTTCCCTGTTTTGTCAGGCTGATGCGAGCAAAATGTGGGTTTTCCGCACTAAACGTAATCAAAACAAACCCTGCTCCCACTGGCTCGTGCAACAAATCATGCTGGGGGAATTGCTGGCATTAGGCATGATTAGCCCAAGTGCAGATGCCTTCCAGCTTGTAAACAATAGCCTAAAGGATTGGAGACGATCACAAACAAAGCACTTACAGAGAAGGCAGCATTTTCAAAAGGGACTTGAGAGCTTATGTCCATTGGGGGTTTGTCTTTTAAAAATAAACTAGAAGTAAACAAATTGACAGAGACAGCTCTGAAGAATCTAAGAGAATGCAAGTGAGGAGACGGGATATAATACTCCAAAAATTAAGTAGGAGAAAACTAGACAGGGCTAATGGGTCCTCTTAAACTCCTCCACAAGATGTCCCACAGCCTTAGGGATAGGCAGACATTGGAAACCTCATCTGTCCTTAAGAGCAAAGCCAGGTGGGATGCATAAGGAATGCAGGAGAAAACCCTTCTTCAGTTCACAAGAGAAAAAACAATCCCTAAAATGTGGTGAGAGGAACAAAAGGATCAGGAAACTTGAGCTTGTCTTATGGTGATTCAGTCTGAAAGGGACATTCCCTCCTTGAACTGCAAACTAGTAACAAATTGCTGTGAATTTCAGACTAAAAACTGTCCAACTCATGTAAAACATAGTTTTTTTAATTGTGCTTTTAATATTTTTTATTTTAAAATCTTGGTTTTATGTAAGGTTTTAAAGTATGGGCTGAGTTATTTTCCATTATGTCTCATTT